GGGTTCTCCAAGTTCCTGGGGTGTCTCCAGTGGGATCCTGATCCCTGGAATTGTGCTGGTGGTGGGACAGGAACAGGGGGCTCTCCACATTCCATAGGTCTCTCCAGTGGGATCCTGAGCCCTGGGAGTGGTGGGACAGGAACAGGGGGTTCTCCAGTGGGATGCCAAGCCCTGGAATTGTGCTGGTGGTGGGACAGGAACAGGGGGTTCTCCACATTCCAGAGGTGTCTCCAATGGGATCCCAAGCTCTGGAAGTTGTGGGACAGGAATAAGGGACTCTCCAGGTTCCTGGAGTGTCTCCAGTGGGATCCCAAGCCCTGGGAGTGGTGGGACAGGAACAGGGGGTTCTCCAGGTTCCTGGGGTGTCTCCAGTGGGATCCTAATCCCTGGAATTCTGCTGGAACATCTTTTAGGATCCCACCTCGGCCGCCCGGATCTCCTGCCCCGGACTCTGCCCGTGGACGAAGCCAACAGCGACTCGGTGGCCACCACCCTGTCCACGTCCTCCCTGGGCAGTGGGGGCCTCAATTCCCCTGCCAACAGGTGAGGATGGAACTCCTTGGCTCCTTCCCAAGCCTTTGGATTCCCTCTGGAATGTTCTGGGCCAGGGGCCGTGCGTGGGGGGTTCCGGAGTGTTCCCAAGTGGGAACGTCCCTGTCCCCATCCCTGAGTTGTCCTTGTCAGGTTCCTGCTGCTTCTTGCTGGGTGGCTTCTGCTTCCCTGGGGGACTTGTGCTTTTAATCTCGTTAATTTTAATCTAATTAACAAAATATTGTTGATTATTTGGAGTTAATTTGGCCCGGAACAGCAGGGAGCTCCCGCTGGTCCGGCGAGGTTTCGGTGCCAAAATTTGTGTGATGGGATTCAAGGTGTGACCTGTCCAGAGGGTTGGGATCTTCTGGGACTCCAGGAGGGCTCAGCACTGAGCTGCCACAGCTCCCAAACATCCTGGAATTGCCTGGAACCTCCTGGAAAGCTCATGGAACCTTCTGGAAAACACCACCCCGGGCTCGTTTTTAGACCCGGAGGGCTGATTTTTTGGATTATTTAAGTGTTTTTTTGATTTTTTAGATGTTTTTTGGCTTCCTCCACCTAAAACTTTTCCCAAGGAATGCTGTGCCGGGATATTCCCGTGGCTGGGAAGAGCAGGGGCCCCTGGATCTGTGGTTTATTGACCTTTAAAACCTGCTTTACAGGTGTCCCCCCCCTTCTGTTTCCCCAGCGGCTCCCCCGGCCCCTCCATCCCCGAGCGCTCCCTGGAGCTGAGGGAGCAGCTCCAGGACCTGCAGGAGACAGAGATCAGCTTTGTGAGTATTCCCAGAGGGAAAAGGCAGCCCTGGGATGGATCAGGAGGGAGGATTTTGGGGACTGGTGTGATCCCTGTCCCGTTGGGAACACGGAATTGGGAGCGGGGCAGGAGCAGCTCTTCACCCCTCCCCAAATCCACCTCCCTGCTCCTGGGGGGGGATCTGCTGCCCCAAAAGTGGATTTGGGAATCAGATAAAAGGGGGGGAGGAATCAGAGAAAACCTGGGATTGGATAAAAAGCAGGGAATTCCCTCATTCCTGAAGGCCTGGAATTGTGTTGGTGATGGGACAGGAACAGGGGGTTCTCCACATTCCAGAGGTGTCTCCAGTGGGATCCCAAGCCCTGGGAGTGCTGGGATAGGAATGGGGGATTCTCCAGTGGGATCACAAGCCCTGGGAGTGATGGGACAGGAACAGGGGGTTCTCCACATTCCAGAGGTGTCTCCAGTGGGATCCCAAGCCCTGGGAATGGTGGGACAGGAATGGGGGATTCTCCAATGGGATCACAAGCCCTGGAATTGTGCTGATGGTGGGACAGGAACAGGGGGTTCTCCACATCCCAGAGGTGTCTCCAGTGGGATCCCAGGTGGGCTCTGGAACACCCGGGGTGACTCTTCCCAGGCTCATCTCCTCTCCACTTTTATTCCAGATGGGACTGAGGGGGGGGTAAATAAAACCTCAGCACCCCCTCCACTCCTTTCCCAGGGCGGAGAATTTTTGGGAATGCCTTCCCTGAGGTGTTTTCCCTGCTCACCTTGTCCCTGTTTTCCCCCTCCCCAGTGAATCTGCACCGACAGCGCCGCGATGGACCCGGGTTTGTCCCCACAAACCCTCCTTTATCCTCTTGGTTTTTTAAAACTCTCCGGACAAAATCCTGGAAGCTGGAAGGCCCTGGATACACCTGGGATGGTGTTCAAGCCCCAGGGGCACCTGGAAGTCTCCTCAATCCCACCCTGTGGATTCTCCTGCCTCGGAATCCCACTGGGAAGAGGAGGAGGAGGAGGATGGAGCTGCTCCATGAAACCCTTGGGAAAAGGATCTGACTTTTCAGGGAGAAAAAAACCCTCCCTGGGGAATTCCCAGTGGGAAAAAAGGGCATTGGAGCCTCCTCAGTGCCAGAAGAAAACGTGATTTCTTTTATATCTTCCACCAGGTGGTTTTTTTTTTAATTTAATTGCTCCTCCCAAATTCAATCCTGGCCCTTTTTTTAGTGCTGCAAGTCCGGGAATTCTTAGGATATTTTATTAATAAAATAGGGTTTGGTTTAGGTTTTTGTTTTTTCTTTTTTCCAGTGTTTGCACCAGGAAATATCCCACGGGAGAGAAGGGGGAGGAGCAGAACCCAAGGAAAAGCTCCTGTCTCCCCCTCCTCCCTTCTCCACCTCCCAGGATTTTTGGGATCAGGGAGGATTTGGGAATCTCTCCCAGCCCCAGTTTTTAAGCTCCTCCCTTCCTGGGATTTGCAGGGTGAAGGGGCACTTTTTTTAAAAAGTTTTTTCCTAAAAAAAAACCCACCAAAACCAAACCACCAAACCAGGACCAAACCCACCAGCTCCAATCCCATCCCTGTTTTTATAACTCCTTTTGATATCCCACCTGGATCCCGAGCGAAGCCAAAACTCCCGAGGCCGAAACGGGACAGAAATCCCAAAAATTTCCAGGTGTTTTTTTGGAAGCTTGATTTTTAAAAAACATATTTTTGGGGTTAAGAAGGAGGGATTTTCCTGCTGCCACGTGCCTCTGGATACCCCTGGATACCTTTGGACACCCCCTGAGCCTCCCAGATCCCGGAGCAGACCTCGGACGTTTTATTTTCAAATGGTTGTTTTTTTAAAGGCAAAAAACCCAAGAAAAACCAAAAAAAAAAAACAGGAATGAAGTGACTCTTCAAGGTTGGAAACTTCCCTTCTTTTTGGTTTTTCTTTTTTACAGAGCTCTGAAAAAAAAAACCCCAGGAATTTATAAAGATTCCTCTGGGAATTTTCCTCAAGGGAGCGACGAATGTAGAGCAGAAAAGGAGTTTTTTTTAGTTGATATTCCAGAGTTTCTCTTCCCAACTCCCCCTTCTCTGGTATTTTTTTAAGGAAAAGCTGGGGGTGGTTTTTTTTGATTTTTAATTTTTTAAAAAAATGTCCTTTTTTGCTCCAAAAAGCCCACGTGGAACGGCCTTACCTTGGGGGGGTGTGGAGCAGGAGTTTGGATCTCAAAGGGCTCCTCCAACCCTTCTCCAATCCTGCTGGAGTTTTTTTTTTCCCCCCTTCTCCCAGCAGATTCCCCCACTTTTCTCCCTGGAATAACTGTCTATATTAGACACTTTTTTTTCCCCTTCCCTTCCCAGCTCAGATTGGTTCCTTGTGTTTTTTTTATTTGGAAAAAAAACAACCCCAAGGCTCCTTTTTTTTGGTTTTTTTTTTCTTTTTTTTGGTTTTTTTCAGGATTTAATATTTATGAAGCTGTATTTAAAGTGTTGGGATTTCAATCCCCTTTTTTTTTTCCTGGGAATAGTCGACCCAGGAATGGGGAATGGGGGGGTGTTTGTATCTCTGCTTTGTTACTGGTGTTTCAAAACTGCCTTTTATTTTTTTCTTTTGGGGTGTGCGTGTCCCGAAACGGCCGGAATTTGGGAATTCTGGGGGGGGGCTCTTTCCCCAGTGATGGTGCTCTGGCTTCTGGATGGACACCAGGGGATGGGATGTGGAGCATGGATGGACCTTGCCCGATCTAGGGATGGAATTCTCTCGTCCTGCTCGGTGTCACCGTCACCTTTGTCACCCCTGGGACACCCAGGAGGGTCACCAGGAGCTCTGGATGGACAGCTGGGGATGGAAGGTGGATGGATGGACCTCTCCTGACCTGAGGATGGACCTTAGCTGAGCTGGGGATGGACCTTTGCTGAGCTGGGGATGAACCTCTTCTCACCTGGGGATGGACTCTCTCACCCTGCTTGGTGTCACCATCATCTTGGTCACCCCTGGGACACCCAGAAGGGTCCCCAGGAGCTCTGGATGGACAGCAGGGGATGGGATGTGGATGGATGGACCTTTGCTGAGCTGGGGATGGACCTCTCCTGTCCTTGGGATGAACCTCTCCTGACCTGGGGATGGACTCTTCTGTCCTGCTCGGTGTCACCATCAGCTTTGTCACCCCTGGGACACCCAGGAGGGTCACCAGGAGCTCTGGATGGACAGCAGGGGATGGGATGTGGATGGATGGACCTCTCCTGATCTGAGGATGGACCTTTGCTGAGCTGGGGATGGACCTTTGCTGTCCTTGGGATGGACCTCTTCTTACCTGGTCATGGATTTCTCTTGTCCTGCTCGGTGTCACCATCACCTTTGCCACCCCTGGGACACCCAGGAGGGTCCCCAGGAGCTCTGGATGGACAGCAGGGGATGGGATGTGGATGGAACCTTTGCTGAGCTGGGGATGGACCTTTGCTGTCCTTGGGATGGACCTCTTCTTACCTGGTCATGGATTTCTCTCGTCCTGCTTGGTGTCACCATCACCTTTGTCACCCCTGGGACACCCAGGAGGGTCAGACCTGTGGTCACGAGGAGCTTTGGATGGACAGCAGGGGATGGAATGTGGATGGATGGACCTTTGCTGACATTTGCTGTCCTTGGGATGGACTCTTCTGTCCTTGGGATGGACCTCTTCTCACCTGGGGATGGACTCTCTCATCCTACTTGGTGTCACTGTCACCTTTGTCACCCCTGGGACACCCAGGAGGGTCAGAGCTGTGGTCACCAGGAGGTCTGGATGGACAGCAGGGGATGGGATGTGGATGGATGGACCTTTGCTGACCTGAGGATGGACATTT